CTTGCTGTGATTTTTACAAACGAATTTTGTTCTGTATCCCGGCATTCAGATCCGTCATTTGCCATAGTGGCCGATCGTACTTTTTAATTGATCAATCGAACCAGATAGAATCACGCCTGTCGTCACTTCTTTTCGTGACAAGCATGCGATTATTCGAACTTCCGCTCGAACTTCACGCGGTTCTTTTCGTACTTTTTCTCTCGTACTAACCCGAATCGAGATATATTAAGAAACAGATCATAACGAGAAATGACAAATAATTAAAAAACATCAAACAACAAAGTTGTTAGCGCAGAAATAAATTTAATGCATAGAAAATTTAATCATATGCGTATAATAACGCACAACGAAAAATATCTCGTATATCGTCCTTATGGCTAGATAACGATAAAATCAAATAGATGGGTAATTTATTTAGAAAGTAATAAAAGATATTTGACGATGTGCATATGTATATGCAGAATGAGATGTACATTTGTTGATTTCTTGAATGTAGACTCGTATATATTGAGATTGTAAGAAGTTATGACTCATCAGTACTATCACCAATAATATGCACTCTGCATGATACATGCCATTATATGTATGTACTATCAAAACATGATTGCACTCATCACAAGTTGTATTTACACGTCTATAGACGTTAAAGACATTTTTTAGCACGCCTTTGAATACGTTAGACGATTTAATATCATACAAGCTCAATCTGATAGACACGAATGATCCTTAAAAATTCAATGTGTATAATTTAAAGTGTATAATTTAAGAAGTTCAAGACGTCGCGCAACAAATCGCGATTGCGGGTACTTTTCTGATGGAGAATAGCTACCATAATGACATTGTCGATTTCAACGTGTCTCTGCCAACACGCATTTGCGTGTCGCTTTCTCGTCAACTCTCGCATGCGTCCGTGAACCTTCCTAGTTGTAACGTCTCGTAAACCCAATTGCGTCTCGCGGACTTCGTACCCTGCGCGCAACTTTATTGACCCATTAGCTATTTACGACTCGTTTTCTAAACATTCCTAGGAGCGGGCGTTTAACGCAATCAGCTGACGCATCTCTCAAATCGAAAGCCGTTTTCTCCACACATGTCTACGGTTGAGAAAGAGAAAGAGAGAGAGAGAGAGAGAGAGAGAGAGAGAGAGGGAGAGAGAGAGAGAGAGAGACCGTGAATCGCATCTGTTTAAAGCGCCATGATGATTGGTTTCGCGAGACAGATTGGCGGCACCATTTCTGAGATTTTTCTACAAACTGCAGCTATGACTATTGTGTTAAAGATAGCTCGCGGAACTGTGGGAAGCATATGCATTTGCTGGAAAATACACGCATGCGAGAGACGCGGTAAAAGCGGGTTACAATTATTATCAACAGAAATATATCCTACATCGTCCTACATTTTCCGGTGTCCCAGAATCAGTTTATTAGCACAACTGAAATTATAATAACTGGGAGGCAAATTTGTGTATTAGAGATTTAATTGGTTAAACATGATCTCTTGATGGATAATCATGCAATTGCTTTGAGGCCCCCCAATCAATTATTGATTTATACTTCCGTATTTATAATTAAAAGATTATGTAATTCGCTTTCTTTTTCTTTCTTTCTCTTTTTTTTTGATTGGAATATGCATCGTTGTGTCTCACCAAATGCACATATAATGAGGACAAAATCTATTTATTTAATCGTGGTTGAAAATATGATTTTTTTCGATTAAAGCAAAAGATAAAAATTAAAATTCTTAGCAGCTTGATGGAAAAACCAGTCCAGTCTTGCTTTCAAGCTACAGAAGAACATCAGCTATCCTCGTGACCAAGTTCAGGGCTAACAAGATCATGTTTCATCTCTCTCGCTCGTTCGAAAGTAAAAGACCTCTTTCCTCTGCGTAAGAGACGCTTCTTACAAACTCTTCTCTGTGGACTCTCCTACCTATTTTCTCACAAGCTCGACACAGTCTACCCTTTACTGCGTTTTAATTTTAGTGGTCCAAACCGCTATTCATTTATCCTTGTTTTAATCTTTCGCAACTTTGAACTTGCTGTTTAGTGTATGCTTCTTTTTTTTCCTTGCATCATCAACCATATTCATTTCAGATATTCATTGATATATTCAAGCTTTTTAAACAAATTAAAACAATATAATTATCCAATATACAATATATTCAATATACATATATTATACAATATCCAATAAATTTAAATTTTAAAACAATATAGAAATTTAAAGATAATATATTTAATTTTTTAATTATTCTACAGTAATATTTTTCAATATTATGACAGCAGAAAAAGAAACGATATAATTCTTATATAACAGATAATTATTTAAATTTCTTGTATATAATAATAAATATTTATAAATTATGTAAAATTTATCGAATCATAAATATATGAACTACACACACATATAATTTTATTTTAAATATTGTTTACAAAATATTAAAAGATTATAAAAAGAAATAATAATTATAACATTAAAATTATAAACAATTGTAAAAAAATATACATATAGAGCAGACTTTTCAAAATTAATTTTTTATAAAATTAAAATGTGAAAAAATTGAAAGGGTTTCCGAATTTATAAACAATACAGTATATATGTATGTATGTATGTATGTATGTGTGTGTGTGTATATATATATATATATACACACACACACACACACA